ACTAATGCAGCCACCACATCTAAGGAATAGTAACCTACAAAATTATTTTTTTTTGTGGCTTGTACTTTTCTGCTTATAAATACTTCAATTGATTGTAACTGTAATGTTATTGACACACTATAATGGAAGGCTGTAATGCGTGTCTGTTAAAGCTTCTTTCTGCCTGTCTGTTGGATACTGTACGTGGGATGTGTTAACTCTTTATAGAAAAATGTTGTTTTGCTTTTGGTTTTAACATTTAAACTTAGGCTTTAAAGTCTAAAATTTCAACTCCAGGGAACATAACATGCTCCCCTCTAGTGGGACCCTCTGTCCCTCCTTTCTTGACAAATGTCCCTTTTTTTTATATTTAATCTATAATTACAGTATGTTTTAATGTACTGTGAAAATACACTAAAAGTGTTGTAGTGTTTAATTTGGGTCCCCCTACAGCCCTGCACAGCCAGTCAATGAGCATTCTCCACGCACGCGTTCATCCATGGTCCGAAAATCAGGCCTTGAGCATTGGTTTTGTTTTTTTTATTGAGGGGATTGAACTTGGATAGAGTAGGGTGCCCAAGGGTAACCGAAATCTGAGGACAAACTTCCTGAACTATTCATAACTTGTCCACTGCAACACAAGCTCTTGTTAGAATGCTATCCAGCAACTCCTGTTGTAGTACTACAGACCCCAGATGGGCTCCTCTTCCACCCAGCAGTCCATAACTTTCCTTTCCTGAGCAGGGAATCTGGGTCTGGTTCCTTTAACCACTTCCCATCCGGCCCATGTGGATAAACGACCAGATGGGAGCATTGCAGGAGCAGGTGGTCCTCCCTGCTTCCCTACCTGTGCGCACTCCTTAGGAGCACGCGGCACTGTGATCTGGTGCCCACTGTGTCCTCCGGACACAGCGGAACAATGATTGCTGTACGGGACCTCTGTGTGAGGTCCCAATCATGTGATCACTGATTGGCCAATCAGTGATCACATGAATAGTAGTAAGCAAGATGTCACTTCTGACATCATTGCTTACTAGTGAAATCTGTGAATGATCAGAGGTCACATGGTACAAGGCTATTCACAACAGCCTTGTAGCATGTGACAAGCTGTGACCAATCACAGCTCACACAGTATTTCTCAATGGCTGCAAGAATGCAGCCAGAAAGAAGAAGAAATTATTGTTTTTACAGCCTTTATGGGTGTAAAAGCAATCAGTGTAAAAAAAATTAAAAATCATTCCCCACAAGTAGTACAGTGTCACTATGGTGACACTGTACTGCTAGGGTGACAGTATGTTAAAAAAATAAATATAAAAAAAAAAAAATAAAAATGTCAAAACATTTTTAAAAAAATATTATAATTTTTGGTTATAAACTAATTTGGGTTTTTTTTTTTTTTTTTACTAAAAAGATAGATGAATACATTTTGGCCAAGATTTATGAAGAAAGATTATTTGTTTTCAAAACTTTATAAGAAAAACACTTTTTTTTTCAAAATGTTTAGACTTTTTCATTTATATAGCAAAAAAATAAAAAATCCCAGCGGTGAATAAATATACCACCAAAATAAAGTTTTATCTGTCTAAAAAAATTCATATGGGTACAGTGTTGCATGACCGTGCAGTTGTTATTCAAAGTGTGATAGCACGGAAAGCTGAAAACTGGCCTGAACAAAAAAAGGGGGTGAAAGTGTCCAGACTTGAAGAGGTTAAGCAAAGTGCACCTTTCCCTATTCGCTCAGGGGGTGTAGGTGTACTCACTCAGGTCCTCTCCTGTACAGCTTGTGGATGACTGCAGTTACCAGGCTTGATAGCTGGATGGCTCCTTCCTGCCACACAGGGGATCCTCTCCCAGTGGACCAGTGAGCCCTGAGTTTTCCTCCTCCCCAGAACCAGGCTCACAGGCAGACCTCATCCCAGTTTGTCTTCTGGCAGTCGTCCTTCACCAACCTCACATCTCTTTCCTTTCTACTTCACTCCAACACTTCCTCTACAGTCTCCAACTCCTGCTACTTGGCAGACTCTAACACTTTTTAAGGAGTCCAGCCCCTTGCCAAGCCTCCTGTTGGGAATTGTCTGAAGTCCCTAAAGAGGTGCAGCCAGCTACTCTTCTGATCCACTCACAGCCTCCAAGGCCCTCCCTGAGAACCTCAGAGCAGGGCAGAAATTCCAGAGAGGCGCCCCTGCAGAGTCTCTCAGCCCTGACCCAAATTTGACCCCTCTGGCTATTACACCTGAGCTGCTAGCAACTCCTGACTAACCATTAGGGATTCTAGGAGGGTGTTAAAGTGTTAATAAACTCACAACAGTAAAATCAGTCTGTATATGTAGTAAAGCATACTTGTTATACTCACTGTGGAACCTAAGGGGTTAATCCTCTGCATTGTGTGAAAAGGATATTTGATCCTGCCTTCTATGATCCTCCCCTTCTACTGTCCACGATCCATCTGCTTATAGAACAGAGCGTTGGGGGCAAGCTGTGCACGCTGTGATTGGTGTGCATTGTTAGAGAGTTTTTTTTTTTTTTTTTTTGCTTGGGAGAGTGCATGTGATCAGCACAGGGCCAAGCAGTGCTTTCCAGACAGAGGGTCAGGGGTTATGCAGCCTCATAGGATAATCAGCGGAGAATGAAAACTCCTCCTACAAGCTTTAACCAGTGCTCTGCTGGATACAGAAGTCACAAGACTGCTCTAACTGCTGATGAGAAAAGGTATTTAGCAGTTTATATTTACTAAAATACTTGCATTTCCATGTTCTGTGTACTGTGGGAGACTAGATATAATGAATACAGGATCCTGGGTTTAGTGACACTTTAAGACTTATAACATGTAAAAATTACCAGGTTTACATGTGAATAATTACTGTGGGTCTGGTCAATTTTTTTAATAGTTTTTAAATTTTATAAACCTCATTAAGTGGTATTTTTACAAAAGGTAACCAATTTTTCAGAATGAAATCTGGGGACACCCTACTGACCATCCCTACTTTAACTACATTCACAAAATCAAACCCCATTTCAATGAATATTTAACCACTTGAGCTCCAGAGGATTTACCCCCCTTAATGACCAGGCCTCTTTTTGCTACTCGGCGCTGCACTAATTCAACTGATAATTGCACGGTCATGCAGGCTGCACCCAAACGAAATTTACGTCCTTTTTTTCACACAAATAGAGCTTTCTTTCTGTGGTATTTGATCATCTGTGCGCTTTTTATTTTTCACGCTATAAACAAAAAAAGGCCAAAAATTTTGAAGAAAAACAATATTTTTTAGTTTCAGCTATAAAAAATATATAGTAAACTCAAAGTTGGTTATAAATTTAAGCCAAAATGTATTCTGCTACATGTTTTTGGTAAAAAAAATCCCAATAAGTGTATATTGATTGCTTTTTGTGAACGTTATAGCGTCTACAAACTATGGTATAGATACTGCAATTTACGCCTTTTTTTGCTATACAGCGCTGCGCTAGTTTAACGGACAGTTGCGCAGTCATGCAATACGGTACATAAATTAAATTTACATCCTTTTTTTCCCCACAAATTGAGCTTTCTTTTGGTGGTATTTGATCGCCTGTGCGGTTTTTATTAATGCTCTATTAAAAAAAAGGCTGACAATTTTGAGGAAAAAAAACAATATTTTGGACTTTTGGCTATAAAACATGTCCAGTAAAAAAAAATTAAAAAATCAAATTTAGTCATAAATTTTTGCCAAAATGCATTCTGCGACATGTCTTTGGTAAAAAAAAAACCCCAATACGTGTAAATTAATTGGTTTACGTGAAAGTTATAGCGTTTACAAATGGCGGGAAAGATACTGGGATTTTTAGGGTTTTTTTATACTAATAATGGCGGCGATCAGCGACTTATGGCAGTGATCAGGGACTTATGGCGGCAATCAGCAACTTATTTCGGGACTGCCGCGGACATTCTGACATTGGGGGGTACTGACTTGGGGTCACTGACATCCCCAGTGACACCAATACAGTGATCAGTGCAAAAAAAAAAACCCACTGACACTGTACTAATGGCACTGGGGAGGAAGGGGTTAACTTTATTTTGCAGGGAAGTGTTATCTGAGTGAGGGGAATGTTTTACTAGGGGGCGGGGGTGTGTACTGAAGGGAACACCTCTGATCTGGAGAGGGAAACTCTTCTGTCCCGGTCAGCGTGTTCTCGAGCTGTCAGGGAAGCGACAGATAGCATAGCTACTGCAGCTGTGCTCTCTGTCACTGATTGCCACCGATCGACGGGTCATAGCCGGTAAGGACCAGCTGTAACCCGGCGCCTGACATTCGCGGCTGTGATCGGCGGGACAAGCAGGGCGGCGGCGCCTCGTGCGCGCCCCCTGCCTGTTTACAATACACACGTTTTAAAATGTGGTTTTGCCTGCCCGTTCCGCCCTGCCGCCGTATTTCTACAGTGGCAGGGCGGCAAGTGGTTAAGCTGCCAAAGCAATATGTAAATGTTATCCATAAGGGTAATCTATCTGGCTTTAACCCTCCCAGAACCATTTTTTCATTAATTTACACACGTTTAAAAAAATCATTTTAGGCTAAAACCCCAAAACATTCATTTCCTGAACGCAGATACCCTGGTGACTAAAATAGCAGTAGTTCAGAGGTATATTTGTGCAACGGTTTGACCAAGCATAGATTTTCAGTAGAAAAAAAAAAATACACTAATGGTAATTTTAGGACATAAAAATGCAATATGTTGCCCATGTTTTCGAAAATAAAAAAGTTCAGATTGCGCCAAGTAAATAGATACCTAACATGTCATACTCTAAAATTGCACTAGCCTTCAAAATGACAAATTTACATACTGTAGATGACTCATTAAAGTGTAACTCCACTTTGGGTGTGAAAAAAAAAAATGTAGGCATTCAGTGTGAATGGGCACATGCATACAAACATGTAGTTTTGTTTTTTTCACTTTCAAATTTCACTGAAAAAGTGGAAATATGCTTTAACGTGATTCTAACGGTTCATTTGTTTTCTTTTGTAAAATAACAAACCTGTCTATCAGGGGCGGACTGACCATTGGAGCACTCGGGCACTGCCCGAGGGCCCAGGGTCAGTAGGGGGCCCCATGAGATGCCCCTGGTACCTTTTCATTGGCTTTTTCATAGGCTTTTTTGGGTGTGGGAGAGGACACAGGGGCCCCATGATCCCCTATTGCCCGGGGGTCCCATGAGTTGTCAGTCCGCCCCTGCTATCTATACTTACCTACTGTTTGCAGTGGTTTTGCACAGAGCAGCCCCAATCCTCCTCTTCTCGGATCCTCCGCAGGCTATCCTGTCTCCTTCTCTCTGTTGGGTTCCCCCACAGCAAGCAGCTTGCTATGGGGGCACCTGCTGCTCCTCCATGTGTACATACACGGAGCCGTGGCTTGGCCCCGCCACCTTTCACTTCAATAGCTGACTGCCTGTGATTGACAGCAGCGGGAGGCAACGGCTCCTGCTTGCTGTCTCAGCCAATGAGGAGACAGAGACCCGGGGCAGCTTTGGCTGTCATTCACATTGATAGATCGTGATGAGGCTCAGGTAAGTATTGAGGGGTTGGGGGAGCTGCTGCACACAGAAGGTTTTTTACCTTCATGAATGGAATACATGAAGGTAAAAAACCTTCAGCCTTTACAACCACTTTAAAGCAATGTCAAATGTGCAATACATGCCTTCCCCTTTAAGGGGTCAATTTCCAGGACTTAACTACTCTCTCCTTCCTTGGGATCTCTCCACTGGCTCCTGTATAAATCACCACCAATATGCAGTCTCCTCTTGCTCCTCCACTCAAGAAAGAAGGAATAGCATAGTGCTTTACCATTCTAACACAAAACCCTATTTAAAAAAAGGTAAAAATATATACACTCCAAGATAGGTGAATTCAGACAGCAGTGCACCAGTTTAAAAGCTTTCCACAATATATGGGTACCTTCTAGTATAACATGCGCAAACATCAACCTAAACTTAAAGTGAACATGTGCAATGCAGTGCAAGAAATATCAGTGCTATTCCAAAAAGTAGCCCATGCTATCACAATACAATCAATCAATAAAGATAGTCTTAAATAAGCAAAAAAAAACGTTTTCTCTATTCAAGAAAGTGTTCCATGCAAAGAGGAAAATATGATCTTCATAATTGTGCAACAAATTCCAACTTTTTTGGCATGCTTCACCTTCAGTGAGATCTCTACCACCAAATTAAACACTCACCAGAAATTGTGGCTATTAATATTAAAAAAAAAGGAAATATGTGCATATGGATGCAGGATTTACTCTTAATAAACTGCAGGGCATCTTTCCTCGGAACCTTCACAGGAAATTTGCCTGAATGATCAATCATGAGAAATGGTCCGAAGGAGTAAAGAACTCTGTAAAACAATCACAATTTATTCTTAAAAGCAATGAACACCATACACTTACAAAGATCGGCACCACAATTGACACTAGTATTGTGCATAAGCTCTCATTACTAGTCTGTCTCTGGCTGCATCCTCTGACCATGAGCTTGGACCTTGTGTGCGTGCTGATGTTACGTGAAAGACCCTCCCTACGTGTTTTGTCACATGTCTTCCAAAAGGTGAAATTATTCTTTAATAAAAGGATTTTGTACTAATGGTAAAGCATTACGCTATTCCTTCTTTTTTGGGTGGAGGAGGAACTGGAGGCTACATATTGAAGGTGATTCATACAGGTACCAGTGGAGAGATCACCAGGAAGAAAAGTGTGATGAAGCCCTGGGACTAGACCCCTTAACCACTTCAAGTCCGGACACTTTCACCCCCTTCCTGTCCAGGCCAATTTTCAGCTTTCAGTGCTATCACACTTTGAATGACAATTGCCTGATCATGCAACAGTGTACCCATATGAATTTTTTGGCACTTTTTTGAGAAAGATAAAACTTTATTTTGGTGGTATTTGTTCACCACTGGGATTTTTATTTTTTCTATATAAATGAAAAAGTCCAAACATTTTGAAAAAAAGTGTTTTTCTTATAAAATTTTGCAAATAAATAATCTTTCTTCATAAATGTTGGCCAAAATGTATTCCGCTATTTTTTTAGCAATAAAAAAAAAAATAAAACCCAAATTAGTTTATAACCAAAAAGTGTAATTTTTCAAACATTTTTTTTTTTACATTTTTATTATTTTTTTTATATTATTATTTGTTTTTTTTAACATAGTGTCACCATAGTGACACTGTACTACTTGTGGGGGGATGATGAAGATTTTTTTTACACTGATTGCTTTTACATCCATAAAGGCTCTAAAAGCAATAATTTCTCCTCTCTGGCTGCATTCTTGCAGCCATTGAGAAATACTGTGAGAGCTGTGATTGGTCACATTGTACAAAGCTGTTGTGAATAGTCTTCTACCATGTGACCTCTGTGATAATTCACAGATTTCACACATAGTAAGCAATGATGTCAGCATGTGACATCTTGCTTACTGCTATTCATGTGATCACTGATTCAGTCAGTGATCACATGGTTGGGACCTCACACAGAGGTCCCGTACAGCGATCTGTGTTCCTCTGTGTCCTCCAGGCTCCCAGGGAGCGTGCACAGGCAATGGATGTGGGAGGGCGTTTATAAATGGCCACCCGCTCCTGCACTGCTCCCATATGGCTGTTTATGTACATGGGTCAGACGGGAAGTAGGGATCGGCACCGATCATCAGGGGCACTGATGATCAGTGCCCTGATGATCGGTGCCCAGCAGTGACACCCGTAAGTTCCGCCCACCTGTGCCCAGCAGTGCGCCCCCTAGCTCCGCCCACCTGTGCCCAGCAGTCCCCCCACCTGTGCCCAGCAGTCCCCCCACCTGTGCCCAGCAGTGCATCTACCTGTGCCCAGAAGTGCCACCTACCTGTGCCCAGCAGTGCCACCCACCTGTGCCCACCCACCTGTGCCCACCAGTGCCACCCACCTGTGCCCACCCACCAGTGCTGCCCCGCCAGTGCCCACCCACCAGTGCAGCCCAGCAGTGCTGCCAGTCAGTGCCACCAGTCAGTGCCCAGGGGTTGTGCCAGTCAGTGCCGGCAGTCAGTGCCCATCAGTGATGCCAGTCAGTGCCGTCTATCAGTACCCATAATCAGTGTCACCTATCAGTGCTGCCTATCAGTGCTGCATATTAGTGCTGCCTATCCGTGACACCTCATTAGTGCTGTCTATCAGTGCCGCCTATCTGTGCCACCTCATTAGTACTGCCTATCAGTGCCCATCAGTGCCGCCTATCAGTGCCCATCAGTGCCGCCTATCAGTGCCCATCAGTGCCGCCTATCAGTGCCCATCAGTGCCGCCTATCAGTGCCCATCAGTGCTGCCTCATCAACGCACATCAGTGAAGGAGAAAAAATACCTGTTTGAAAAATTTTATAAAAACAAACAAAGAAACTTTTTTTTTTTCAAATTTTTTGCACTTTTTTTATTTATAGCGCAAAAAGTAAAGCACCAGTGGCGATTAAATACCACCAAAAGAAAGCTCTATTTGTGAGAAAAAATGATCAAAATTTCATATGGGTACAATGTTGCATGACCGCGCAATTGTCAATCAAAGTGCGGCAGCGCTGAAAGCTGAAAATTGGCCTGGTAAATAAGGGGGTATAAGTGCCTGGTAGGCAAGTGGTTGAGGATAAGTGTTATTATTATTATTCATCAATGTAAATGGGTGCACATACAGTATCTCACAGAAGTGAGTCCACCCCTCACATTTTTGTAAATATTTGATCTTTTCATGTGACAATACTGAAGAAATGACACTTTGCTACAATGTGACGTAGTGAGTGTACAGCTTGTATAACAGTGTACATTTGCTGCCCCCTCAAAATAACTCAACACACAGCCATTAATGTCTAAACCGCTGGCAACAAAAGTAAGTACACCCCTAAGTGACAATGTCCAAATTGGGCCCAAAGTGTCAATATTTTGTGTGGCCACCATTATTTTCCAGCACTGCCTTAACCCTCTTGGGCATGGAGTTCACCAGAGCTTCATAGGTTGCCACTAGAGACCTCTTCCACTCCTCCATGACGACATCACAGAGCTGGTGGATGGTAGAGAGACCTTGCGCTCCTCCACATTCATTTGAGGATTCCCCACAGATGCTCAATAGGGTTTAGTTCTGGAGACATGCTTGGCCAGTCCATCACCTTTACCCTCAGCTTCTTTAGCATGGCACTGGCTGTCTTGGAGGTGGGATTGGGGTCGTTATCATGTTGGAATACTGCCCTGCGGCCCAGTCTCCGAAGGGAGGGGATCATGCTCTACTTCAGTATGTCACAGTTAGGGATGCACCAACATTTCTCAGTGTTGCCCCATGAAAAGATATAATAAAATATTTACAAAAATGTGAGGGGTGGACTCACTTCTGTGAGATACTGTATAATTATTTGATGAATATATCAGATTGATTGTTTTGAGTATTTTTTTTTATAATAACAATTTTTATTGATTTTCAAAAATATACAAACAGTATGTTTAAGAAAAAAAAAAAAAGGGATAAGAAAAGAAAACAAGCAAAACAGAAAGTTACATCGATGGCAAAACTGCGTAAGGACAGGACCAACAAAAACATAAAATAAACAGTGTGAAGGTTATCAGGACCTTACATTTTGGGCGGCATAGAGGAAATGAAGGTATCCCATGGGAGCCAAATCATCTCGAACACAGCAAACGAACAATTATGTAGTGCAGTCAAGTATTCCATCTGTCTAACATCAGCAATAAGTTTGTACAGAATCGCCATTGAAGGAGGGGTAGAAGACAACCAACACATAGGAATGCTTCTCCTAGCCGCGGTCAGAACATGTACAGCAAGTTTTCCGGATGGTTTAGGTAAACCCGGAAATGGTAGACCTAGCAAAAAATGTAGTGGATCAAGTGGGAGAGAGGTACGCATTAGTGATTGTAACAGGGAGAGAACATCTTTCCAGAAAAGGAGTAATGGAGCTGCATGTCCAAAAGATATGATAGAGAGAACCCTGGTCTCCACCACAGCGAGAGCAGGCAGGAGAAGCATTCGGATTATAAGCATGAAGAACTTCAGGTGTTTTGTACCATAACATCATGAGCTTGTAAATATTTTCCTTAAAAACCACACAAACAGAAGATCTAGATGCATTTTCCCAGATTTTCTTCCACGTTAATAGATCAATATCACATTGTACGAATTGAGACCACCTACGCATGTAAAGGTGAGTGGCATTGTGACAAGGAGGGGGGCATCTAGAAGTAGTTTATATGTGTTAGAAATAATACCCCTTTGGTGGGGGCCCTGCATACATAAACGTTCAAAGGAAGTAGGCTTCCCAGGGTTAATGAGGGTGATAAGGTAGAAAAGAAGTGGCGTATTTGAAGGTAAATATATAGGTGTTGAGAAGGTAGAAGAGATTTTTTCTGTAGATCTGGGAAATGAGTGTAACTTACGAGTCACCGGGTGTACCAAGTGACGCAATTGAAAAAGGTTAGCTGCTACCCAAAGAGACATTCGGATTATGGCCATATTGTCTGGAAGATTAGGGTTATGGAGAATATTTGTCAGTGGGGAGCAATCAGAGGCCAGTGTAAATTTAGCCTTACATTTCCGCCAAACAGCCAGAGAAAAGTGCATGGGACCAAGGAATAGGTGGCGAAAAGAAGAGACATCCACTGTTGAGGTCGACCAAAGGAGGGAGCATGGATGAGCCGGAGACAATTGTAAAGATTCAATCTCAGCCCACGTGTTGGGAGGATAGAGAGTAGACCATGACATGAGAAAACGAAGATGAGTTGCATAGTAGTATGTTATTATATCCGGTACCCCCAAGCCCCCCCTAGAACGCGGAGAAAGCAAAACAGAACGTGCAATCCTGTGCCGCTTGTTGTGCCATATAAAATGCAGGAAAGATTTCTGGAGGGAGTGAAGTTTGGACATAGGAACGGGAACGGGGAGAGTCGCAAACAGGTATAACAGTTTGGGTAAACACGGTCATTTTTAGTACATTAATGCTTCCGAGAAAAGAAAAGGGCAGGGCATCCCAGTGTTTCAGAGAAACGAGAAATTGCTATAAATAATGGGGGGAAATTGGCCTCCGTATATGGATTGGTAAGAGGAAGTCAGAGTAGTACCTAAATATTTTAAAGAGTGGGTGCACCACCGGTAGGGAAAGGCTTCCTGAAGCGAGGATAAAACGCCAGAAGGGACATGTATCGGGGGAGCGCCTCAGTTTTAGACGTGTTAACTTTGTAGCCAGATATGACCCCAAATTGTTTCAAGGTCTTATGCAAAATCGTAGGGCGCGGTATGAGGACTCGCAAGCGTGAGGAGGATGTCATCAGCAAACAGCGATAATTTGTATTCATGGTTATGGGATCGTATCCCGCGAATATCCGGATTCGACCTTATGGCGATGGCTAAAGGTTCCAGACAAAGAAATGAACAGTAAAGGAGAGAGTGGGCAACCCTGACGTGTACCATTTGACATCTGAAAGGGGGAGTGAAAAAAAAGAGGCTAATCTGACCTGCGAAAAAGGGGGGAAGAAATAAAGGGCCTTCAAGGCTGCTACAAATGGACCCCTGAAACCATATCTTTCCAAGACCATGAACAAGTAAGGCCAACTTAAACGGTCAAAAGCTTTTTGAGCATCTAAACTTAATAATATAGCGGGGGTGGAAGATCGGTTAATCAAGTCAACCAGATCAATGGATCGCCTGGTGTTATCTGCAGCGTGTCTGGCAGGTACAAAGCCCACTTGGTCCCTATGTATGAGTTTGGAAATAATTCCAGACAGTCGGTTAGCCAAGATTTTAGTGAAAATCTTGTAATCGGTGTTAAGTAGGGCAATGGGGCGGTAATTGTCTACTATAGAGTGATCTTTTATCGGGTTTGGGGATAACCGAGATATATGCTCGGGAGAATTCAGTCTGGGGTGTGACCCCCTTGAAAAGATCTCGATAAAAGGAGAGGAGATGAGGAGCCAGGATACCAACAAAAGATTTATAGTAGGAGTAGGGCAATCCGTCTGGTCCTGGGCTTTACGAGAAGGGAAGGTGTTTAATTGTGTCAAACAATTCCTCTGGCGTAATATCAGCGTTAAGGGTGGCAATGTCTGAGGGTGAAAGACTCGGAAGTGACAGGGGGTCAAAAAAATTATCAAAAGATAACTGTGTGAAGGGCGGGTGAAGGTCTGGGGTCAAACAGTTATAAAGATTCTTATAGTATGAGCCAAAAAGGGATGCCATGACCTGAGGATCATAGGTAGGGCTTCCATTTGGTTGGATTAAAAGATCAGGCATCGTGGAAGGAGACTGAGCTTTGAGTCGATTGACTAACATACGATGAGGTTTGTTGGAAAATTCGTAAAATTTTTGCTTAACCCATAAGAGGGATTGCGCAGACTTACTAGAGTCAAGAGTTTTAATGCGGTCACGTAGAGATGTTACCTTCCGGAGCCCAGAAATGGACGGCTTGGCCAACAACTGTCGTTCTGCCAAAGATAGTTGATGAATGAGAGAAGCCCTAGCACTCGCTGAAGATTTTTTTAAACGAGAACCCATAGAAATACAGAGTCCTCGAAATACCGCCTTTATGAGCCCTCTCATAGGGTTGAGGAAGAAGCCACGGAGCCAACATTGTGGGTGTGAAATAGGTATCAAGTCCCCGTGACAGTTCATCCCTAAGATGTTCTGTAGAAAGAAAGTCTCATTAAGGCGCCAATGACATGGTTTGGGTATAATAGGAGGGAAAAAAAAGGTTTAAAGTCAGAGAGGCATGGTCAGACCAGGTAATGGGATTGATTTCAGAGGCGACCAGGAGTGGAAGAAGTGGGGCAGAGATAAAAAAAAATGATCTAGGGGGAAAAACTACGGTGAGGGGTGGAGTAGAAAGTAAATTGTTTATGGAGGGGGTGTTTAATCCGCCAGGCATCAAAGAGACGATGCTCCCTTATCAGTCTACGGAAAGATTTTGAAGAGGAGCATTGCCGCTTCGAGGGTGTGGACTCGAAAAGAACTTTCCTGTCTTTATGGGGGGAAAAAACCAAGTTGAAATCGCCCCCAACAATCACATGCGAAATGGGAAAGGAATCTAAGTTGGCGAGTGTTTGTGAAAGAAATTGCAATTGACCCGAATTTGGGGCGTATAGATTCAACAAAACAAGGGGAGTGTCACCAAGCATACACATTCCAAAATAATAAAGCGACCCTGTTGGTCAACCCTGGAGGAAACAACCCGAAGGGAGCAGTGAGACCTAATCAAAATTGCCACCCAGCCTTTCCGGAAGGATCAAAGG